CCCCCCCCCCCCCCCCAGGGGTATTCTGGTAGTTCTGTAATTGCTGCCTGGCTGTCATGCTGAGTCGCTGACTTTAATACTCGCAATCACAGTATAAAAGATTATGACTAGGAATAAGTAAAATTGGCTGTTTTTGAGTTGCCTAAACTTTGGCAAAATTTGTAATATTGTTTATGTTTATTCCCCTGGGTGTTCTGCTAGATCAGTAAGAGCTCCCTGGCTGCCATGCTGAGTCACTGACCTTAATACTCACAGTCACAGTATAAAGATCCAGACCAGGGATAAGTAAAATTGTCTGTTTTCACTTTGCCTACATTTTGGCAAAATGTGTAATTATATTCTTTATTTGTATTCCCCTTGGGTGTTCTGCTAGTCCATTAAGAGCTCCCTGGCTGTCATGTTGAGTGACTGACTTTAAATAAGAACTATGAGACGAGTGCTTTTCACTCACCTCATAGTTCTAGCCGACCTGTGACAATGAGACGGTCACAGGTCGGATCAGTAGATCGGGAAGTGAGCGAACACATACTGGTGTTCGCTCACCTCTCGATCCTGTCACGGCTCTCTGCCGTGACAGGGGAGGGGCTGGATTCCCCCCTCCCCGCTCCGATCCTCATGCGCTGACTGGCGGATCGAACGGGGGAGGGTGCGGGTACAGCTGGCTCTGCCTCTAGATAGGCAGAGCCAGCTGTCACTCACGCAGCTGGGCGGATCTCAACATCCATGTCGGGATCCGCTCCGGCGTCTGAGTATACCGCGAGCTGTAGCTCGCGGTATACTGAGCCTAGGGTGACGGGAGGACGCCAGTTTGTGACCTCCCGTTACCCTAAGGAGATCTATGGGGAAAAGCCCTGACCCCATAGTTCTCCTTTAATACTAATAACAGTCACAGTATAAAGATCCAGATCAGAGATAAGTTAAATTGGCTGGTTTCACTTCACCCGAATACTGGCGACAATTTACAGTTTTTGACAAATGCGTTGGAGTTAATAGGGGAAGGTGAAATTAAAGTGATTTGTAAGGGTGTCGTTGGCTCTATGTGGTTCCTGAGAGTCTCCTGTTTTGTTGCATTTGTTACTTTTGTATAGGATTAAAAAAAAAAGCAAAATAAAAGGTGACGGCACACAATGTATTTTTTAAATATATTTTTGCTTTTTTTTTGTGAATTTTATTGGCATTTGAGAAAATAAATAAATAACAAAAAAGGTTGCTAAGAGCTGGGCAAGGGGATGTGCATGGCGCTTATACTTCTACCCACCCGGCTCTTAGCAACTTGGGATTCTGTGGCCAGAAAGGGGCCACGCCGCTCCGCCTGCTGCCCCCTTCCCAACGTGACCCAAAGGAATGCCACCTGAGGCAACAGCTTTATTATTTTATATTATAGGGACGGCCCTGGAAATCACTGAAGTCAGAGATTTAGCATGGCAATCAGGCAACTAACATTTTACAATGCGGACCAGCAATGGCTACCGGTATTTTTCCCGCCAAAAGGAATATTTTATGATCTACATCATTATTTTACCATTAAATACAAGTTTTATTTATTAAAATGGATATGAAAAGTATAACAGTAAACACAATGATGGCGTTCCTTTAAATGCTCCTTTCCGTTATCACAAATCTATTACAGGGCCTCTTTAATTGATCGTCTTCATGATCTCGATTCTACTTCCCAACCAAAAAAACAAATTTTCAATCAATATAAATATTGATGATTTGTAACGATTTGCTTCAGGAAATGGAGCTTTTTTATTTACAAATCGCTATTCTGTAACAGAAATACATTTGTTTTCATTCATTCAATGGAAATCTCATTCTCTTTGTGTAATTTCATTGTATCCCATGACATTCCCTTTCAGTGTATTGTTTACTTTATCCGCTGTTAATGTTCATATTCATATTATTAGCCATTTACTGTCAGGTTGCTGGAGAAACGGTTGAGTTATCGGTGAGCCGACCCAGGAAAAGGTCACTCGGTAGAAAATCATTTTTTGATGGTTTGTTTAGAAATAGTTACAGGAGCAGAAGACTGGAAACTCATCTAAGCCTGGGACTTGCAATGTATTTCAATGAGTGTATCTAAGGCAGTGGTTCTCAACCTGTGTAGCTTCTGTGTGACCCACATTTCTCCTTGGTCATAAAGTCGTGACCGAAGTCGCACTGCAATGAAATGCACAGCATTGCGGTACCGTGCATTCCGGTGCAGGCGCTCGAACTGTGGGTGGGAGGAGCGTTTGGGGTGCCGTTCAAATTAATGGCAACACACCTCCCACACCAGAACACGTGGTCAGTCCACCCAGTCTCCCTACCTTACAAGAACTGGAATGGATCTTCAGCCTTGGGTCCAGTGTGGGCTGCTGTGCTGTGAAGGAGCTCCATCCATATGTGCATTGCTTGTACAGCTCCCTTGCATGTCCTGTAGAGGTGCTGGGAGCCAAAATGTGACATCACTCCGGTCCAGGCTTCTCTACAGGACACGTGAGGGAGCTGTAAGCAATGCTCGTATGGATGGAGCTCCCTCGTAGCCATAACCCCATCCCATCTGAAGCTGACACTCCGGCATATTTTGAATGGCTGCTTGGCACAAGACAGTGCTGCACTAGGGGAGGCCTCTCACCTGGAAAAGTGGAAGGCATGTGGTGACCCACTGAACACGGGGTTGCGACCCACTTTTAAGTCACGACCCACCAGTTGAGAACCAAGGATCTAAGGTGTATTGTGACAAACAACACAAGGCAACAAACTAATAAAACCCAAATAAACCTTCAGTTTTAATTGGCGCAATAAATTCCAAGTGCATCAAAAGGTGCGCAAAGTCTAAGGTGGTTATTTTCTAAAGAGCCGAAGGATCCAGCCGTAGCTTCGGGTGATCCTTCAGCTCGCTTCCGCCGCCTCTGCCTTTCGATTCAGTCGAACCAAAGGGCTGCTGTACGGACTATTCACAATAGCCCGTACAGCAGCCGAGCTGAACCCATATGCTTCGACTCGGCTGAGCCGTAGTGACGCCCGAAGCGGGGAGAAAGGTCGACCAAAGCCGACCAATCTCCATGCAAATGACAGCTGGGCAAAGCCAGTCGTGATTTTTTATTGGCTTGACACCGGACATTTTGCTGTAATCACTTGTAGCAAAAATTGTGATTTTGCTTTGTTTTTGTTTTTTCTGCCATCAAAAAAATCTCTAAAAGCTCCCACAGGCCCCAAAAATGATTATATACCGTAGTTATGTCATTAATTTTTTTTACTGACATTTAGGGCAGCCACCAGGGGGTATGGCTAATACTCATGTAAGGGGCCCGCGCAGCTTGGAGCTAGGAAGGAAGGAAGGAAAAGAGAGAGGGGAGGGATGCAGCCCTGACCAGCCCACCTGAGACCCCTTCAGAGCCCACCATAGACAGTCTCAGATGGGCTGTGCAGCATCTATGGTGGGCTCTGCAGGGTCACTCTCAGGTGGGTCCTGTGTCCAGCGCGTCACTAAGTTTTTGGGGGGGGGGGGGCCTAAAGCCGTGTAAGGGGCCCCAAAATTTGTGATGGCTGCCCTGCTGACATTCACCAAAGATTCACTGCAGATGCTTTAAATAACAGCGATCTGTTTACTACCAGTGAAAGCCACATTCACTGCTTCATAAATGTGCCCCTTGAAGGGCTCTTCATTTTCAGATGAATGTATTTGCTTGCGCGGAGGTTGCTGAAACTTAAACCGAACACAGGTTTATACATCATATCTGCATCAGAAATGGAATCTGAACTTCAGGCACACAGTGTTCAGTCCGTGTAAATATTCATTTTAAATCAAACCGGCTGAAATATGTGAATCTTTCATAATAAAATTCTTCTGTGATCTCTTGCATGGTAGGAATTATTCTGACAGTGGGAGGAGCTGCCGTCTGAGCCAATCAGAGCTTTATTGCTTTGTACAGTGCTGTCAGTCTATTACTGTGAACATGCTTACAGGAGAGAGCAGAAGGAAGAACTCTTCTTTTCTGTCCAATCCCAGACTGGGGGGCGGGTTCGTGACCAAGCTGTATTGCTTAGCTGCAGTTGAACATAGTAAGGTCACCGACTTGTCTCTACTGTCTGGCAGGGGTGGCTGGATCACTAGGTTGCCTACAAATCCTATGGCAGATGAATATATATGTGTTATATATATATATGTGTTATATATATTCCCATATATATGTGTTTTTACCTATGCATTTAACTGTTTGCCTGGAGTTCAGCTTCAGTTATTATGACTCTCCCAAAAATTTTATCCAAATTGAAAACATTTTCAAAGCATATCTTGGAGCTTCTGTTAGAAGCAGTTGGCCTGACTCCATGCTGGGAGGCCAATGTGCTCCTCTTCAGCCTCTCTGCTCCTCTCCCTCCTGACACAGGGAGAAGTTTCCTGCCTAATGTCTGCAGCTTGTGATTGGTTTTCTGTGATTTGCACTCTCGAAGTGACAGGTCCTCTTTGTAAGGTTACATTACATTGACTCGGTACTCCAGAATGCACTTTAACCCCTTCGTTATTGAGGCTCTGTAGGGTCTCTCGATGTCTGCCATATGAATACTGACAAATGTACAAATGTCTGTCATCATCTGTGACCAGCCGAGCATCGCCTGCAGCGTCATCTGTCCATAAGAAATCAGTAATGTTTTCTCTCTCTCTTATCGCTCTCTCTTTTCTCTTAGGCTGTTACCCAATTAGCACTTTTTGGGGACATGTCCACTCCGCCTGACGTAACTTCACCTTCTGTAAGTAACACAAAGACAACCCAATGATATTCTGCTTCCTGTTGTGGTGTTTTCCTCGGCACAGATCTATCTGCAAAGCGCAGGGGTCTCAGGCGTCCAATCAGACGTCATTCCTGCTGCTCTGTCTACAATAAAATCAAATGTGATTGGTTGTTATTGGACTCAGCATGTTATCCTTGTCCTTTGACCTACGCTTTTAAAGAGACTCCCCCCCAAAAAAATAAACATTGTTCCTTTAATGGAAGGCGCTGAGCTATAATGTCTCCAAATGGTTGAACTCTGCTGTGCAAGGCTTCTGCTAGAATCTTCTGACACACTTCTGGGAGTATGAATTCCACTGAAAATCAATGTTGTGACACGCTACACATATTCCATATAGTGTTACCGAAAACTAAATAAATATATATACCGTGTTTCCCCGAAAATAAGACACTGTCTTATATTTTTTTTGGCTCAAAAAAACACACTAGGTCTTATTTTCGGGGTAGGTCTTATTTTTTAATGTACAACAATCCGCACTTATTCATGTAAAAAAAATAGGGTGATCAGGGCAATCAGGGGTGCCGTACCTTTCCAAGAGCAATTTGGTAACCAATCACTGGCCAGGATGAGCGAAGCGCGCTTTCACTATCGATTCCTCACAGGCGGGGTGCATTTGGTATAACTCCACCTGTGACAGGAGCCGGCGCTATAGAGGAGGCATCGGCTTATGCGGCTCTGCTCCCTCCACTGAAGCCTCGATTATATATACACACTATATATATATCATCTAAAAAGAAGAAAAAAAGGGGCTTGGCATTTATCCACAATTGCCGCTACATAGCAGCGATGGCAAAGTAAAACAACGGCTATGTACATATATAATATCCTCAATACCCCACCAATTAGAACTCTACTTGTCTCAATATATGGGGAAATTATATCAGTTATCTCGAGATGGTTTTGATGATAGGGACGGGGTATCATTTGATACATTTCTCTGATCTCAAGATCTGCTTCGTTAGGATTTGCAGAGAGCATATCTATGATTTGTTTGGAAGTTTTCCTATCATTTGTATCATTATTTCCATAATGATACACATGGCTACATTTAGAATTATATGTCATGTGTTATATATCTGATCTGTTTTTTGATACAATATCTTTAGATATATTCTGCACAGTCCCTGACAAAGCTTATCTCTGATCTCGCCCGTTTCTCTGATCTGCTTTTATTTGCTTCATTAGGAACTGTGAAGAATATTTCTAGAGATATTGTATCAAAAAAAGAGATCTTATATATACTGTAACATATCACATATAATTCTAAATGTACCCACTTGTATCATCATAAAAAAAACGATACAAGTGATAGGATAACTTCCACATATGTCAGGCAGATAAACCATAGATATGCTCCCCGCAGAGCCTAACGAAGCAGATTGTGAGATTGGAGAAATGCGTTGAATGCTACCCCGGCCTTATCATCAAAACCAGCTTGAGATAACTGATATAAAACTTTCCTATATATTGGGACATGTCAAGTGCTGGTTGGTGGGGAGTTGAGGGTATTAAATGTGGAAGTAGCCGCTGTTATGATTTACAATCACTACTATTTAGCAGCACTTGTGGATAAACACTTTATTATTATTTTTTTTAGTGTATGTGTATATAATATATATATAGGTGTGTGGGTGTGTTTGACGCCAAACAACAGACTGTTTTTACAATCTAATACAGCATTTCTAAACCCTTTACAGTCATTGAACCCTTTATAAAGAATGCAAAATCTCGAAGCACTCTAGTTTAAAATGTCATAGATTTTAAAGAGGACCCCATGCAGAAACACACAAACAAGTCACCACAAAGTTCCCCCCTTTAAATCAAGATCCCCCCCTTAAATCAGAGTTACGCTTTGCATCAGTAGTCCCCCTTCACATTTGGAATCCCCCTTTCACATCAGAGGTCCCCTTTTACATCAGGAGCCCCTTTCACCTCAGTCGTCATTCCCCTCATCACATCACAGTGCCACTACCACAACATTTTGAGGCACCCCTGAGGAAGCCTGAATACATACCATGGCATGGCACCCTGGTCAAGAAAGGCCGATCTAATATATTGTGTGTCATTGTAGCCCCTGAAAAGACCCAACATTGATTTTCAATGGTGTTTTTACTCTACTGGTAGGGATATGGTGCAACGACCAAGGTTGCTGGTCCAGATTTATATTGAGGTATACTACATTTCTGGGAGTGCCTTAGACACTACTGCACCCTGTACAGAGGTTGGAGGAAGAAACCACAGCATGACAGGGGATGCAGGTATTCAATACTCCTAGTAATGTCAGATTCTGAAGACTTTAGTGCATAAAGACATCAAAGTTTGGCCTTGAGGCCCACTGGAGAAGCCAGCATTCAGATCTTCCTTTGCTGGAACAATGCTTCAGATATTTTTGCGGCTCTTACTTTAAGTTCATTCAGTATTCTTGAAGGAAGCCAATAGAAAGCAGCCATTATTGGCCTTCTTCTAATAAACTTCCTCTAGTAAATGTTAGTTGCCTGGCTAACTTTCATCTGAACCCATCCTAAACCTGTTACTGTGGAATCATTGCACAGCCAGTCAACTTCAGAACTTCTGATGTAAATACTTGTTCAGGGTCGGTATTTTAGAAGGTTAGGAAGTTACTGCAGGGGTAGGCCACCTCGGCACTCCAGCTGTGCTGGAACTACAAATTTAATCATGCCTCTGCCCATGGGAGTCATGCCTGTGACCGTCGAAGTCTTGCAATGCCTCATGGCACGTGTATTTCCTCAACAGCTGGAGCGCCAAGGTTGCCCACCCCTGAGTTACTGTATCAGCCGGACATTTAGCATTGGAATCATGCCACGACTATCAGCCACGACTTTAGCAGTGGAAGAGTATGGATATGTCTCAGCAAAGGTTTCCATTAAAGTGTACCCTTTATTTAATCTGCAACCCTGTTTGCAAAATGGCTTCCTCTGGTGTGATATTTAAAGTAAACCTGTCATATGGGGACTGCAGGACCTCTTTTTAATTGACCGACTGTTACGCTGACCCCCTATCTTCAATACTTGCTCTGTCACTGAACAGCAATAAGGAGATCAGGAAAGGCAGGAGATCCTGATCCGCATACCTGTCCTGGGTCAGGGACTTAAAGCAGGCCTTGCCCTCCACCTTTAAAACTGATTTAATGTTAGTTGTTCCAAAATGTTCCAAAAATGATTTATACTAACCTCCCCCTGCCTTCAACCCGCGGTGCCTAGGGATGACATCATATTTTAAATGGGAGGTTATTATATGAGGACCTTGCATTGTACTGCAAGGGCTGCTTTGAAGTTTTGAAGAAGAGGGTCGGAATGACAGCCAGGAATGACAGTCATGATCAGGATAGGTCAGTGGCCGCCTCTGTAATTTCTTATGACGGGTTTCCTTTAAATCAATGATCTGTGAAATGAAAGGTGTGAAATGTATACAAATAGACATTTTACATTGTATGTACTATATATGTATACATTGCATTAAAGTCATGTAAATCCAAAACTTTTTAATTTTAGTTTTAGATAGATCATGTTTAAACCTCCATCTGTTTTTTTTTTCCATGCCTGTTTCCTCTTGGGAAGATTTCCCTTAATTTCCTGCCCCAAAGACAAAGCAGGAACTCAGAGGAGATCTCTCTTAAGGTGCCCATACACTGCTCGATTCTCGTACGAGAATCGCGGGAAATCCCGCAATCGTACGAGAATCGTGCAGTGTATGGAAGGCGTGCGACCGTTTGTACTGTACGGTCGCACATCTTCCGTCGAACCAGCATGCTGGAAGACCCGCGAGAATCGTACGATTCTCGGCGAGTTAGTGGCCTGCTGGTTCGACAACTGCCGAACGGGCCGGTGTGCGCACGCGCACACAGCCCGTTTGCAGTCATCGTAAGCATCGTAAGTGTATGGGCAGCCTTAAAGTGAGAGGATACTCCCAATCAGACAGCTGTCACTAGAACAGGTGTCCCCATTGGAAGATCAGACCCAGTAGATATCCCACCGCACTCTTTACCAGTATACCAGTATGCCCCTTGGAAATGGGTGCTGAAGTGTCTGTGGCTTGAATCCAAGAAGATAGGACATGTTACCAGCACACCAGAGTAAAGTGTCCAAAAACATCTTTATGTACATGGGTAAATAAAGACATTTTTTGGACACTTCACTCTGGTATGCTGGTGACATGTCCTATCCCATTGGAAGATCTTCTCGTATCTCTTGTTTCGGTGACATCTCATAAACTGAGGATTTCCCATCACGTTCTGTCTGAGACTGGTCACCAGGACAAATAGAGAGGATGAATCTCCTTAGTGTGAACACAGCCAGCATGTAAAATCTGACAGGGTTCCAATTCCTCACCACTCTGTCCAGAACTGAAAACTAAGGTTTTGGCTTTACATACCCTTCAATATGTGTAATATTAATCATGTATGTGTATCTGGTTGGCAGAAAATCTGTTTTATTTGATAATGTAACTCCTCAGTATATATAGCCTGTATGGGTTTCAACAATAGGGGGCTGATTTATGTATCTTTCATAAGATATATAAGACCATAAGATCATCCTTCCAGCTTCGGGTCTAGCACTATCGAACACACTTAGGGGCTGATTTATAAATCTTTTGCTCAGTGTATAGCTGTGCGAATGCCATTTACATGGCACTGCTGCAACTAAATGGAGCTGAGGATCACATGAAGTTCCTATGCTCCTCAGTGCCATCCAGTGGTGATAGTGCCATGTGAACGGCATTTGCCTAGCTGTATGCTGGGCAGAAGATTTATAAAACAGCCCCCTATGTGTGTTGTTGAAGTGCTGGACCCAAAGCTGCAAGGATGCTGCTTTAGGTGCGAGGCAGCTCTCTGTCAGTCCGGGCATCCTTAGGGAACTCCAGAGAAGTGCAAGGGAAATGAGGGCACTACTAAAATTGTCTATGTCCAATAAATCTTTATTTAGCATAATGAGTGGTCACATGAATAAGCCTATGCCTTTCAAGCGCTCAACCTTCCCCCTGCATTCACAATAAACATCAATAAACATCAATGCATCTTATTTGTGTATCACCCGGCTGTAGATCCTCCAATCATCTCTGAATTGGTGCCGACACTGTCCTTCCTTCTGGAGGGGGGCTACGTCTGTTCCCCATGGTCCCTGTGTGTGTTGTGGAGTAGTCACCGCTCCAAGCTCGCTCAAGTGATGGACTACAATCTCCATACAAATCAGTAAACTAAACCTGAGATTGTAGTCCATCCCGCGAGTGAGCTTAGAGCGGTGACTACTTCACAACACACACACAGGGACCATGGGGAACAAAAGTAGCCCCCCTCCAGAAGGAAGGACAGTGTCAGCACCAATTCAGAGATGATTGGAGGATCTACAGCCGAGTGATACACAAATAAGATACATTGTTGTTCATAGTTAAGGTTCTTGAATTTATTTTTAAGATTTAACTCCGGAGTTTGGTGTCACTTTAAATGAAAACCCCACAGGGAGAGTCTAGGCCCATTATGATTGCAGATGATGGGTGGAGCTGAGAACAGCAACTTTCCAAGACGCCTTTGATTGAAGTAGTTCCCGGGTATTATGGGGATCAAACTGCCAGCATCTTCACAAAACCAATGTGTCAGTTTAGGGTGGACTGAGCTTTTAGGGTTTCTTTTACTCTCTCTCTGGTATCCAAGGACGGGTTTCTCTGAACCTTCATCTGCAGTCGGAGGTATCCAATCCTTCAGGCATAATATGTCGCCTTGCAATTTTTAAACCAATGTTGACATTTGTGCTGTGCAAGTGGCTTAATATTATTGCTCTTTTCCAGACGCAATAAAACATTTTGGCATATGGGTGCCTTGGGGATAAATTAGGACCGCAGGCAGCTGCTGGATTAACTGCATAAGTTTGGAGATGGATAATAAAATGAATAGACTGGGAATTTAGCCGCTGTGATGAGACAAGCAGCTGAGGACCTTCCTGGTCCTGTAGACTGTCGAGCCCAGAAACACCGGCAGACTTTGAACCACCCTTTACAAGGCCCGCTGTAATCATTAATCAATGCTTAGTGATCCTAGATTTATCACTCAATCGAACTTTCAGTTAAAGGAGAATCAAAAAAGGTGCCAATTTCCTTTTTATTACTTTTTTAACCACTACAGTTCCCATACCTGTACCCACCCATAGAGCAAGGCAGTGTTGACATTTCTCCTATGGTGCTGTTTATTTTGCAATAAAATAGTAATTTTATATATATATATATATACACAGTATCTCACAGAAGTGAGCACACCCCTCACATTTATGTAAATATTTTATGATATCATTTCATGTGACGACACAGAAGAAATGGCACTTTGCTACAATGTAAAGTAGTGAGTGTACAGCTTGTATGTCAGTGTACATTTGCTGTCCCCTCAAAATAACTCAACACACAGCTAGAGCTGCAACGTTTTCCATCGTCGATTCGTCGGCTAAAATTCAAATTTCCCGCTCGCCGCTGTTAAAAACTAGTAGTCCATCACTGAACCCTTTTATTTTCTTAATCTGATTAGTCGATTAATCGAACTTAATAATCGGCTAACTAATCGATTATGAAAATAATCGTTAGCTGCAGCCCTACACACAGCCATTAATGTGCTAAACTAAAAACTAAAACTAAATCGCTGGCAACGAAAGTGAGTACACCCCTAAGTGAAAATGTCCAAATTGGGCCCAAAGTGTCAATATTTTGTGTGGCCACCATTATTTTCCAGCACTGCCTTAACCCTCTTGGGCATGGAGTTCACCAGAGCTTCACAGGTTGCCACTGGAGTCCTCTTCCACTCCTCCATGATGACATCACGGAGCTGGTGGACGTTAGAGACCCTGCGCTCCTCCACCTTCCGTTTGAAGATGCCCCACAGATGCTCAACAGGGTTTAGGTCTGGAGACATGCTTGGCCAGTCCATCACCTTTACCCTCAGCTTCTTTAGCAAGGCAGTGGTGGTCTTGGAGGTGTGTTTGGGGTCGTTATCATGTTGGAATACTGCCCTGCGGCCCAGTCTCCGGGGGGAGGGGATCATGCTCTGCTTCACTATGTCACAGTACATGTTGGCATTCATGGTTCCCTCCATGAACTGTAGCTCCCCAGTGCCGGCAGCACTCATGCAGCCCCAGACCATGACACTCCCACCACTATGCTTGACTGTAGGCAAGACACACTTGTCTTTGTACTCCTCACCTGGTTGCCGCAACACACGCTTGACACCATCTGAACCTAATACGTTTATCTTGGTCTCATTTTTTTTGAGTGACCCTAGGAATAGGGATTGTTCTGTGTACTGCATTTTTAGAGTGTAGGGCTGGATTGCAGGTAGAGCAGGTATATCCTTTGCTATTGTTCCTATGCCAAATGTTATGGAGAAGACAGGAGATGGAGGTTTTCTGTAGTTCTATCCTAGGGTGACAACACTGCTCCTTCATAGATACAGTACAGTAAGTGAGTGTTGTCACTCTAGGACAGGATTTAATTGTCAATGCAAACAAAATGCAAAGATATGAGAAGATACATTGCTTCCAATAGCAGCCATTCCCAAACAATGAGTGATGTCATGTTGGGGAACAGGCCAGTGTTTTACCATTCAAATCTATTAAATGGGGTCCTTAAAAAATGCAACACAGCTGAGAACACTTGGCAAGACATAGATTACCGGGTGGTTGTCAAAGTATATGTAAACACTAAAGCTATATTTCAGTATGTTTGGCATCAGATCTCACTGTATACAGAACTTTCTGTTGCAGGCTGAAAACGCTAAGCTCCTACCTCATAATTAGCAGCAGTGTTGTCATCCTGTGGTGCAAACTCCTTTAAGTAGTATTAAACTCGCAAACATTTTTTTTCAATTATGAATCCAGATTCAACAAATAAACATTGCGCAGCAAAGTATTTCTTATAAACAATGTTACTTTGTATCTCTCTATCTCCCTCTGATCAATGTTTATAAACAATGTTACTTTGTATCTCTCTATCTCCCTCTGATCAATGTTTATAAACAATGTTACTTTGTATCTCTCTATCTCCCTCTGATCAATGTTTATAAACAATGTTACTTTGTATCTCTCTATCTCCCTCTGATCAATGTTTATAAACAATGTTACTTTGTATCTCTCTATCTCCCTCTGATCAATGTTTATAAACAATGTTACTTTGTATCTCTCTATCTCCCTCTGATCAATGTTTATAAACAATGTTACTTTGTATCTCTCTGTCTCCCCTCTGATCAATGTTTATAAACAATGTTACTTTGTATCTCTCTATCTCCCTCTGATCAATGTTTATAAGCAATGTGTCAGAATGGCCAGTTTCTTACAGCAGCAGCTTCTACGGCTGATGTATTTACACAGCAACTCCCATCTGTCATTTTGACAATTGGGAATCTCTTGCAAGTTCAAAAGTGGGGATATTGCAGTGAGCAGAAGGACAGGGAGTACCACACACATCCTGTGTACTTTGATGAAGCTTTTGGGGGGTCATGTAGCATGTCCAATGACCACAACTGGTTGAGAAAACTGTATACTGTGACACATGATGCCAGCTATACTAAAAAATAGATTTTGGTTTCACATCCACATTGATACTTGTGTTCTCGAGTGTACCTTTTGATGGCCAGAGGGCCATGTCAGATAAACGGTTATGTAGCAGCAATCCGAATGATTAATCATAAATCATAAGTCAGTACTGTGGAGGATTTCCAGGTTTGAGGAAGATTGCAGAGTGAGAGGTAAGAATACATCTCTGAGATCCACTCTTCATAAATCAGTTCATGTTTTTTTGTGTTGATGGTAAAATGGTGTATATATTGCTATAGCTGGAGTTGAGCAAATTAATAGGGGGGTAGCCATTTGAGAAGCATCAGATAAGGGGTGCCAATCTCACGCTTGGGTGCATAGAATTTACATAAATTGAACCCTGTCCTAGCAGACTTCAAACAAACATGGGGGGGGGGGGGGGGCAAAAAAATGCAAAAATTTT